TTTGGGATCTTAGGACGGCAGTGAGGGAGCGAGATGCCCACGCGGGCAGGGATCAGGCCTGACGGCCAGTCTTGGAGGCGCGTGAATTCCGTGAGCTGGTGCATTCGTTCCTCCAGGGAGCACCCTGGCCTGTGACTGCCTGACTCACAAGTGCAAGGAGGATGGAGGCCCCTCCTGCTCCCTGCCCTCAGCTGTGATAAAGAGGGCGTGCATCAGGGTGCTTTCACATCACCCACATGAGCTGTAAGGCTCTGGAATTAACTGCTCAGGCTTTGGGGCTGTAAAGACTTGTAAAGATAAAAACAGCTCATAATCGCCGAAACCAGTTTGGCTCAGCGGTAGCGCATCGGTCTGCGGACTGAAGGGTCCCAGGTTCGATTCCGGTCAAGGGCATGTACCTTGGTTGTGGGCACATCCCCAGTGGGGGGTGTGCAGGAGGCAGCTGGTCGATGTTTATCTCTCATCGACGTTTCTAACTCTCTATCTCTCTCCCTTCCTCTCTGTAAATAATCAATAAAATAAACAAATAAATAAAATAAAAACAGCTCATAATGAATGTTCTAACAATTTTTCTTTAGATATTTTTCAATTAAAACGTTCTGGATTCTAGGCGTACCCTATATTTGGGAGACACAGGAATATAAGTATCTAAGCCTGATCCCTGCTTTTCTCCCCATGTAGTGTGTGGGTTACCACAGTTATCCCAGCTGCTATCATTCCTGCCACAGTCCTGGGGTCGGGTCGGGCAGAGGCCCGCACCTGCCCTGGCAGCGGTTCTGGGCTGTCTGGGTACTCAGACAATCCTGGGGCCCAAGTAGTGGGAGGAGAGTCAAGAAATGGATGGGAGGGGCCCTGACAGCTCTCGGTAAGCACCCTCACCCCAAGGAGAGGGATGCTGCTGAAGAGAGCTAGAGTTGGGGCCCAGGAAAAAGGCCCCAGTTATCCAGGTCTGAAGGCAGGGCTGGTGCATTCCATTCTGGCTAACATAAACCAAGCCTGTAAGCCTCGTTAGAGGTACCAAATGCCAAAAGGGTGTTAGAGGTTTTCTGGACCTTTGCACCTATAGGAGGTGTGCAGAATTGAGAAACTGGACATCTCCCCACAGCACCGAGCACTGGTGCCGTCCCTTGACTATTTAGCAGAAGGGGGTAGAGATAGCTCCTTTGAATGACAAGTTGTCTAAAGAATTCAGCAAACCTGGGGCTCCAGAGTGGAGCACATTTTGGGAAGCTCATCAGTTGGTTCCTAAAAACCCTCTCTAAAATTTTTTAAAATTTTTATTTATTGACTAAAAAACCATCTTAATTCATGGAATTTGAAGTGTTAAGTCTACCAAAGTATGTAATGGGGCACAATTTTCTTATAGGAACGGGGCCTCATGGGTGCTGAGGCGGCATTGCACCCAGGGGTGGAGTGGAATGTACACACGAGTTTACTCATGGCACGTTGGCGACTCAGGCCATTGGTGCGCTTGGTCCCAAGGGTGCAATCTGTCCCACCAGACACGGCTACTACAGTTTCCACTTAGTAGAAGGGGATTCAACAAGTCAATTTCTGTGCTGATTCTTGTGCTTAGGTTCTTTCTTTCTTTTAAATCCTCACCCAAGGAGTGAGGATATTTCCTCCATTGATTTCAGAGAGAGTGAAAGAGAGACAAAGAGAGACACAGAGAGAGGTGAGAGAGAAACATAGATTGGTTGTGACCAAGGGCAAGGGCAAGGATCACACCTGCAACTTAACCAGAAATCAAACTGGAGACCCTCCAGTATGCAGATTGGCATGCTAGCCACTGAGCCATGCCAGCCAGGGCCGTTGTTTCTTTTTAAAATCCTGTCTGCCTTGCCCTGTGAAGTAGAACAAACCTATACTCAGGAGAAATGTAAATGGTGCATTTTATTTCTCAGACTCTAATTGTGCAGACTCTGGAAATCTGCTCCCCCCACCCCCTTCTCAAAAGGTTTCAGAGTGGTAAGGCTTCTGGGGAAAAAGACTGCAAGTAAAGGACTTTCTGGGAATTCCCTGAGGTTCTGACTTCCATCCTCCTATTGCTGCATAAAACTGAGCCTAAGTTGTGTCTTTGCTCTGCGTTGACAAGGAAGGCTTCCTTAAGCCTGAGCACACATGAAGATTGTGTGCCCTGAGTGCTGGAAGAACCAGCTCCAGGTTGTAATGGTATCACTTGCATATTTCCAACCCTTCAAGGCCTACGGAAGCTTTCCTGCTACAAACAGGCCTCACAGTGCCCACTGCTCCAGCGGGTCCTGGTCAGAGACCAGAGTGGCGATGAGGCCGTCCCCGGCTTACTCAGAGCAGGAGCCGGGACGCACCTCTGCAAGGCTCCCGGCCTTCCTGGTGGGACACGGGTGCCGTGGTCCTCCCTGCACACTCGATAGTTAGAAAGAACCATGAGCAGAGTAGAGTTGTGGATTTTTAATTTGATTTTTCCCCCCAGATGGCTGAGGGTGAAAACCCTTTTAGCCTGGCCTGTGGCTCAGTGATTGAGCATCGACCTATGAACCAGGAAGTCAAGGTTCGATTCCCAATCCGGGCACACGCCTGGGCTGCAGGTTTGATCCCCCGTGGGGGGCATGCAGGAGGCAGCAGATTAATGATTCTCTCCCATCACTGATGTTTCTATCTCTCCCTCCCTTTCCCTTTCTCTCTGAAATATTAATAAAAACATATTTTAAAAAAATTCAATAGAAGACAGTGCCCCAGGCCCTACTTGGCCTGCAGCCTGCTCCACTTTCAAACTACTGGAGATCCCCATGAAATGATACCTAGAGCAAAGACGTACACTTGAGAGATTTAGTTTCCTTCTCTAAAAGATGCAAAATTCTTAATCTGTCAGATGGATATGCCTAAGTAATTCCTTAGGACAGTAAATAAGTAAGTAGGTCAGAGAGGAAGAGAAGGTAAAAATGAAATTAAGTAAAGTGAGGGTAAAGATACAAGTTGTGTGTCTTAGTGTGGAAATTAAATTCAAACGAGAATGCTGGAGCTCATTACATGGACCTTAGCTATTCACCAGAGGGACCCAAAGACAATCCCATCTCTACTTTTAATCAACGCCTAAGACACAACACAACTAGGCCAACTGTCCTACATATCCGGTTACGTCTGGTTCACTTTAATTCTCTGAATACCTAACCTTGTAGGACTCTCCTCTCCTGTTCCGGGTGTAAGGTAACTCAGCTCAGTTACCTGGAGTCACAGCAACATCAAATATTAAGGCTGAGACTTAAAGCTTGTCGAGTCTAATTCTATCATTTTTAGAAGAGAGGCGGTGTGACTTGTCCAAAACACACGCTAATTGGCGTTAGGACCCAAAGTGGAACTTGGGGTCTGCATTCCCAGGGAAGTGTCAATCAGCTGTCACTATCTTCCTTGAAGTCAAAAGGCAATTTCTTTTTTTTTGTTTGTTTGTTTTTTTTGTTTTTTTAATATATTTTATTGATTTTTTACAGAGGGATAGAGAGCTAGAAACGTCCATGAGAGAGAAACATCGACCAGCTGCCTCTTGCACACCCCCTGCCGGGGATGTGCCTGCAACCAAGGTACATGCCCTTGACTGGAATCGAATCTGGGACCTTTCAGTCCGCAGACCGATGCTCTACCGCTGAACCAAACTGGTTTTGGCAAAAGGCAATTTCTTATTCCCCTGTACGAGGAGGAAGAGATTTACTTTGAATTGCTTTACAGGGCTTAGTTAAAATGAACGTTACATGTTGATATGCAGCCTGGTCTCAGGTCCCCTTGAGTCAAAGGGGCCCTAGATTCAGGTCACTCACTGTTAGAGGGCATGCAGATTTTTCCCAATTAATTTAAAGAGGCTTCCAAATACAGCCTGCAAATGAAGTTTATCAACAGGATGACATTTTCTATCACTAGTTAAAGGTAAACGTCTATTTCTTCAGAATATCCTGATTCTGGGCACACATGTCTAAATGTATGTATACCAACATATACATAAGCACGTCATAATTAATATCTATTGGTTATAATTAGTGTAACTATGTTAGATTCAGGCCTGATGTTTTCTCAGAGGACTCTCTTATTATTGCTTTCAAGTGAAAGACAACTTCCCTCCAGAGCACTCACACATGCCTGGCGGGCCCCTGCCCAAGTCTGCAGGCCCTGCAGGCCTCTAAGCAAATCATGCTTGCGGTTGAGGCCTTTTGATTTAAAAGGGAGAAGAATCTAATGAAGAAAACAAACTGATGAACAAAATAGACCCAGAGATATAGAAGCATGGAACAGACTGTGGCATCTCAGAGGGAAGGCTGGGGTGGGGGGAATAGGGAGGGAGAGATTAACCAAAGAACTTATATGAATATATGCATAACCATGGACACAGACAATAGTGTGGGGAAGGCCTTGGTGGGGAGGAAGGCTGGTATGGGATTAAGGGGGGTCAATGGGAAAAAAAGAGGGACATAGGTAATACTTTCAATAATAAAGATAAATTTAGAAAAAATAAAAGGGAGAAGAGAAGGAAGACAAGGAGAGCATTCTCCGCTATAAAAGGAAATAAATATGAGCCAGGCAATTTCTTTAACCCTCTGGTTTATCATCCCTGAAGACCTTATTCTGACCATGTGGAAAATTTCCGGAGATTTATACCGGGAGCCATGAAAATCCTTTCTCTCTACAAGGACCAAGCACCTTCTGCCTGTGTTATTTAAATTCTAAAAAGGTCAATCCTATATACTTAAAAGAAGTTAAATTAATACATAACAGTTATTGTAACTACTACCACAGAACTGCCTTGTCTGAAATATACAAAAACCTTAAGAACTGTCTTTGCAAAAAAGGCGGGTGTTTCTGCAAAGCTCCCGTACCTCTGGCTGTTATGTTCTGGTCGTTGGTAACCAGCATTCTGGTCTATTAGGATAGATTCTGCATACCTTTTTCTGACCATGGCACTTACCTAATAAAGACTAGCCTGTGTTTTGCCAAATACTGTGGAAAGCTTGACTCACGGCATTGAAAAAGGATACGTCTAATTCGCTCTGGAAGAGAAAAGAGTGCACGCATGAGAATGAGACATCGGGACAGAATGCACTTAGCAGAGTTAGGGCTGCCCTGGCCGCACACCTGGAAGCAGTGGGAGCAGCTGCTATGGGCACAGAAGTGTGAGAACGGAAAGGCCCTGAGTTTAGGATTGTGATTTTAAAAAAAGGGGGCTGCATTTATAGACTAGAATAGTTATCCTTAGAACATAGAGGGGATAAACGAACTCAACTTTTACAGATGATAGGCAAGTTTGATAGGTTTATAAAAAAAAAACCTTAATAATGTGTATACCCTTTCATCCATCAATTTTACTCCTGGGAATTTATCTTAAGGAAATAATTAGATAATGGCACAACAATGTGTGATAGGATATTCAGGGTAATGTTTATAATAGCAAATTATTGAAAATTAGGGGGGGCTAGTTAAAAAAATTATAGCAGATCCAGAAATGACAATGCAGGTACCTAAGTACTGACATACTGTTGAATAAAAAGCAAGTTATATGAATGGTATGTACAGAATTACCCCGTATATCCTATATAATAAAAGGCTAATATGCAAACCGACCGAACAGCAGAACGACTGGTTGCTATGATGTGCATTGACCAGCAGGGGCAGACGCTCAACACAGGAGCTGCCCCCCGGTGGTCAGTGCGCGCCAGGGGGAGTGCCGCTCAGCCAGAAGCCGGGTCACGGCTGGTGAGCGCAGTGGTGGCGGCAGGAGCCTCTCCCACCCCCACATCAGTCGGAATCCCCAGAGGGCTCCTGGACGGCGGAGGGTACAGGCTGGGCTGAGGGACACTCCCCTCCCCGCCCGCCCCAAGTTCACAAATTTCGAGCACTGGGCCTCTAGTATAAACATAATTGTTTCCCTGCCCATGGCCCTTACCTGATATATATATATAAAGAGCCTGAAAGGAAATTTACCAATAAGTGATGGGCTTACTGATGATCTTCTCCCCTTTGTTTTGCTCGTATGTATTTTTAATTTTTTTTCAATGAATATAGATATTCATAGAGGGAAAAAATAAGCAAAGAGCCAAATACATACTTGAAAGGACTTAGTTTGGCAAAGGCAGCACTGACAACCCTGCTCCTCAGCTTTTGCGAACCGCCTCTGTTACAGCTGAGTGAGTTGGCCTTTTGTTTTGAAATGTGATGCGCAGATGCTTCTTTCAGCCCAGACAGCAGCATGAGACTGATCTCCAAATTTAAGATTTGGATACTCTAAGATTAAAAATAGTCCCAGAAAGAATGTTCAAAACTCAGAAACCTAAAAATAATTTTAGATGACAAGGCATTCTCCATGAGTGGGACAGTTTCTATTTTCTTTCTCACCGTACTCTTTTCCCTCCTCTTTCTCTTCTTTTTGCTACTACTGTCATCCCAAGCCTGGGTCCTCCAAGTCCTGTATAATCACCAGGTTCAAATTAAATTCTGCTCTTTACCTCTGTGGCTTATGTGGTCACTGACTCTCCCTAGAATTACAGGCCAATTCAGCAACATGCTATTTATGCTCAGTTACTGAATATAACAATAATCATTTTAAACCCTTTAGAAATTATAGTGCTTGCACCCACTCTTTAGTCTCCCAGTTTAAAACATTGCCAATTTGGGAAATTATATTCTTCTTGGTAGGTGTTCCTTTAATCTAATCATGGCCAGCCCGGAATCACAGACTTTGATTTGTGACCAGCCTGTCTTAAGAGAGTCGTCCTTTGGAGCTAGAGTTCCGCTGTCCACTAGCCTCATGTGGCGATTTAAATTAAAACCAAATAAAATTAAAATTCCTCATTCACACTAATCATGTTTTAAGTGTCCAAGAGCCACATGTGGCTGGCGCCTACCGCAATGGATGGCACAAGCACAGACATTTCTATGGCTGCTGAAAAGTTCTTTTGGATACTGTTGGTTGACAGTACTCTCTCAAAGATGAATTGTAAAGCCAGCCTCAATGCTCTCTGTCCCCTCAAAGCCAGCATCCGGAATGGCCCAACCTCTTGCCCGCCTCCAGTTCTGGAGGCCACCCATCCCCTCCTAGTTAGATGCGTTACTGTGTCGAAAGTCACTAGGCCGCTTCCCAGCTCCAACATCTGAATCAGGAAATGGCCGGTCATAAGCCTCATGAGGTAAGCATGCACCAGAATCACCTGAAATCTTGTTAAAACACCAACTCCTGGACTTTAACCCAGAGTTTCTAATCCAGTAGTCGGGGTGGGTCCAGAGTTTTGTCTGACAAGTTCCCAGGTGATGATTACCAGTAGGCTGCTCGTCCAAGAGCCACGCACTGAGACCTCTGCACCCGGCAGGGAAGACAGGCCAGATAACTGTCCCTGAAGGAGCCCGCCAAATGCTACTTCTGGCATCAGGAGTTAGAATGAGATATAACGTGTTAACATGAGTTTTGGCCTGAGAAGGCTTTAGTACACTCAGTATTACTAACTATGGATTTCACTCACTCTCTCAGGAAGAAGCAAGTTGGAAACAATTCCGTCCTAATAATTTTATTTAAAAGGAGAATGAGCCCTAGCTGGTATGGTTCAGTGGATAGAGCATCGAATTGTGGACTGAAGGGTCCCGGATCGATTCGTCAAGGGCACATGCCCGGGTTGCAGGCTTGATCCCCAGGATGGGACGTGCAGGAGGCAGCCGACCAATTATTCTCTCTCATCATTGATGTTTCTATATCTCTCCCTCTCCCTCTCTGAAATCAATAAAAATATATTTAAAAAAAATAAAAGCAAAATGTAATAAACAAAACAACTTTGAAAAATCATCCTGTGCTAGCCGAAACCGGTTTGGCTCAGTGGTAGAGCGTCGGTCTGCGGACTGAAAGGTCCCGGGTTCGATTCCAATCAAGGGCATGTACATTGGTTGCGGGCACATCCCCGGTTGGGCGTGTGCAAGAGGCAGCTGGTCGATGTTTCTCTCTCATCGACGTTTCTAGCTCTCTATCCCTCTCCCTTCCTCTCTGTAAAAAATCAATAAAATATATATATTTTTTAAAAATCATCCTGTGCTACCTCTACTTCTCAAGAATGTCTAACCAAGGCAGAGAAAGGCCTACGTACAGAGTAAAACATCTTTACTGATTCTTTTAAAAGACTATTTCAAACTAACTACAAAGCTAACATCAGGAAGATAATGTGGTACTGGCAGAAGGATAAACAGAAGGATAATTGGAACAGAACTGAAAGTCCAGAAATAAATACTTATATTTATGGACAACTGATTTTTAAAAAATATATACATTGTTATTGACTTCAGAGAGGAAGAGATAGGGAGAGAGAGATAGAAACATCAATGATGAGAGAGAATCACTGATGCACAACCTCCACTGGGGATGCATGTGCCCTGATAAGGAAACAAACCAGGATCTGGTTCACAGGCTGATGCTTAATCACTGAGCAACACTCCCTGGGCGGATTTCATTCTTTTTTTGGCTGAGTAATATGGCGTTGTGTATATGTGCCACATCTTCTTTATCCAATCACCTATAAGAGGACACTAACACTGAGCGAACAGATTATTATGATCTTTGAACGCATAATAATTTGGCCACTCAGAGAGAGAGAGAGAATGTGTGTGTGTGTGTGTGTGTGTGTGTGTGTGTGTGTGTGTGTATTAGAGGCCCAGTGCATGAATTTGTGCAACGGGTAGGGTCCAGCCAGCCTGACCAAAGGAACATGGGCGGTGGGCCAACCAGCCTGCTGGTCGAACTCCTGGTCGAGGGGACAATTTGGATATTAGCCTTTTATTATATAGGACATACACTGAGTGGCCAGATTATTATGTGTTCAGAGATCATAATAATCTGGCTACTCAGTGTATGTTGCTTCCATGTCTTGGCTATTGTTAAAATGCTGCAATGAACATAGGGGTGCATATATCTTTTTGAATTACTGTTTTGGATTTCTTCAGGTAAATGCTCAGAAGTGGATTGCTGAATCATATGTTAACTCTATTTTTAATTTTTTGAGGAACCTCCATACTGCTTTTCATAGTGGCCACACCAATCAAATGGTAAACATGGAGTTACTATATGATCCAACAATTCCAATCCTAAGTATATACCCTAGAGAACCAAAAAGATGATTCCACACCAAAATGTGTCCACAAATGTTTACATAAATAACCCAAATGCCCATCAACTGAAGAGTGGATAAACAAAATGTGGCATAGCCATATAGTGAAATATTATTTGTCAATAAAAAGGAAAGAATTACTAATACATTCTACAATACTTATAAATGTTGAAAATGTTAAGTTAAAAAAAAAAAAGCCCGTCACAAAAGACCAGATATTGTACAATTCTATTCAGGAATTTGCATGTCATCATTGTGTGGGGGTCATGTTAATCTTCTCGGTACAAATCTATTTATATAAAATGTCTAAAACAGGTAAACTATAGAATAGGTAAACTTATAGAGACAGAAAATAGATTACTGACTACCTAGGGCTTAGAGCAGGTGGAGACAGATAAGTGGGAGGGAAATGCTAAGGAGTATTGTGCTTCTTTTTGGGGTGATATAATACTCTAAAATTGATTGTGGTGATGGTTGCACAACTCTGTATACCAGATAACATAAATACTAAAAATTATATATTTAAGAGGGTGAATTGTATAGTATGTAAGTTACATTTCAATATAGCAGTTTTTGTTTTTTTAAGTAGAACTGTTGGAAAGGAATTCATGTATTCCTTAAGAGGAGTTGGTTTTGATCTTCAAAGCAAGAGTTTAATTTAATTTAATTTCCATGACTAAAAAATATACCTTGTATTGTACAAGGGGCAGCACAAGAAAGAAAAGAGAGAGAAAACTAGCTAGCAAAATCTCTTAACTGAGAAATACATAAAACGTTCTTAGTCTTGTAGAAATGGTTCTTTATAAAGAACTACTAGTAGGTTCAGAACACTCTGCATGAGCCAGAAGGAAAGGTAAAGAAAGTCTGCCATCATTTGAATTTTAACGTTTACATATTAGAGCTCTATATTAACACATGTTCTTGATATAGAACCATTTCTGGAAAATTGGCCTGAGGACGAAAACCCTTTTAAGCATTAGACTTACCACTCGGCTGAAGTAGTCATCTAAAACTTCCACAAAGTTATGGATGAATTCATAAATCGCCATCTCATTCTGAAATAAAAAAGGAAGGATGCAAAACAGCTTTATAACTCACTTGTTTAAAAGAAGTCTATTAAGAGGAGAAATGTAGAAAACTGTAACTGCTAAGGTTTTTTTAAGTGTCCGTACTGAATCTAGCTGGACTGACACCGGACCGAGTCTAGTGCAGAATTCTGAGCTCTACTCAATGACTTCACCAAGTGGCTGAAGCAATTTTTCAGTTTCCACTTGCCATCACTTTTCCACTTGTGAAGATGCGGAAGCTACCTCCAAGTTTTGTTCACAGATAAAACACTGAGATTTCAAAGTATTTTAGATCACTCTTTCGGAGAGTCCATGGCCACAGGTGCTGTTGTTGTGGGCCTGACATTTCTGAAAAGGTGAACTTAAATCTCAGGAGACATAATCACAACAGAATCATATTCACAGTTTGCTGGGGCCTCTGATATGTCAACCTATGTTTAATGCCACAATAGATTGGCCATCACACTAAACTGCCTAAACTGCCCCCGAGTGCACCATGGGGCAAGGGCAGGACACCAGTATTGCTTTGGGTCGAGGAAGGCCTCTGTGGTTTCGTGCTTCTCTACAAGCTGCTCATCTAATCCAATAAAAACTCAGGGTATTTCTCCTCCACACAGCTTTCCCTAGCCCTGATAGAAACCAAAATCCTGCAAAAGAGCCAAGGTAATTCTTAGAGTGGCAAGTAGGAAAGAAAATGTCAATGGAAGGAGGAATAAAAACCAGACTGTTTTTCTATGTAACTTCCTCGCATCTTCCATAGGCTCTCCTACTATCTTACCTCGGTGTCATTGACTCCAACCACGATGAACAGGGCTGCATACTGCCGATAGATCAGCTTAAAATCCTTATACTCAACGAAAGAGCACTAGACAAAACACAATTGCGTATTAATTCCTCTGGTGGAAGTGGATTTCTTCAAAATGGCTTGCATAATTTTTAGCTTCTGATTTGAGTACCTGTCAACACATCCTTAGAAATACACATTAAAATGTTACGTCTTTGTGGGTCTCTCCTCACAATATTGAGGAGACACTGGAAGCATCTCTCCTGGGAGGAAGGGAAGGAGGTGGTCTTGGAGCAAAGGCTCCGTGTTCCCACGGGCTCCCACCTGTGCTCCTTACTCCTTGGCGGGCTCTCTGTGGAACTCAGCAGGCAACACTACCGAACACTCAGCATTTTAAACTGTCTGCAATGTGAAAATGACCCATACATTTTCTTTTCACCTCCCCTAGGTCTTTTGGAAAACAATTAAAGATTTAGTTTTATACTATTTAACCATCACTGAAGAACCAAATATATGTAGCAGACACCGATGCCAAAAAATAAAATAAACCTCTATTTCTTTTTCCTAGCTCCATAGAATCAATGCAGACTCTTCTATAAACCATTTAAAGATGGCTTTTGAGACCTAGCTGGTTTGGCTCAGTGGAGAGAGCGCCAGACTGTGGATGGAAGGGTTCCTGGTTTGATTATGGTCAGGGCACGTGCCCGGGTTGTGAGCTTGATCCCCAGTTAGAGGGCAGGCAAGAGGCAGCCAATCAATGATTATCTCTCATCATTTTTTTTAAAAAATATATTTTATTGATTTTTTACAGAGAGGAAGGGAGAGAGATAGAGAGCCAGAAACATCGATGAGAGAGAAACATCGACCAGCTGCCTCTTGCACACCCCCTACCGGAGATGTGCCCGCAACCAATGTACAAGCCCTTGACCGGAATTGAACCTGGGACCTTTCAGTCCGCAGACCGACGCTCTACCACTGAGCCAAACCGGTTTCGGCTATCTCTCATCATTGATGTTTCAATCTCTCTCCCTCTTCCTTCCTCTCTGAAATCAATAAAAATATATTTTAAAAAATAAAGAAAAGATAAAGATGGTTTTTGTGTGGCAAATGCTAGACACATCTTTCATTGTAAGCACTGCCTCGTATGAATTCATAACTAGCTTATAATACTATCACTGACTTGTGGATAAAACAACTCCCTGCCCATTTCTCTCTCTCCTATAGTCTCGTACAAAGCATAATGGGATGGCAATGCATGGAAAGGAACTGGGGAGCTAACGGAAGGCACAGTGCTGCCCTTGGACTTCGGGTGTGCTTGGCCAAACGTGATTGAGCATCAGCTGTACGGCTGTTTGCACTGAAAATGCTCTTGGCTGCCTGGTTGCACCTGAGATTGAAGCTGCACATTTTGATCACGGAATTTATTCCATTGAAGCCACTTGACAAATTATAAAATGGAGGAGGTGAGGTTTTTATTTAAAACTAGAGGCCTGGCCGAAACCGGTTTGGCTCAGTGGTTACAGCATCAGCCTGTGGACTGAAAGGTCCCAGGTTTGATTCCCGTCAAGGGCATGTACTTTGGTTGCAGGCACATCCCCAGTGGGGGTGTGCACGAGGCAGCTGATAAATGTTTCTCTCTCCTCGATGTTTCTGATTCTCTATCCTTCTCCCTTCCATTCTATAAAAAATCAATAAAATATATTTAAGAAATAAAAAGAAAAAAAAAACTAGAGGCCTAGTGTACAAAATCATGCATGGTTGAGGGGGTGTCCCTCAGCCCAGCCTGCACCTTCTCCTATCTGGGATCTCTCTCACAATCCAGGGTTCAAAATCCAGAATTGCTGGCTCCCAAATGCTTGCCTGCCTGCCTTCCTGATTGCCCCTAACTGCTTCTGTCTGCCAGCCTGATCAGCCCCTAACAATTCCCCTGCCAGCCTAACTGATGCCTAACTGCTCCCCTGCCAGTCTGTTTGCCCCAAACTGCCCTCCCTTGCAGGCCTGGTCACCCTTAACTGCCCTCCCCTGCAGGCCTGGTTCCCTCCCAACTGCCCTTCCTTGCTGGTCATCTTGTGATGGCCATCTTGTGTCCACATGGGAGCAGGATCTTTGACTATATGGGGGCAGTCATCTTGTGTGTTGGAGTGATGGTCAATCTGCATATTACTCTTTTATTAGATAGGTTAGAGGCCTGGTGCATGGGTGGGGGCCAGCTGGTTTGCCCTGAAGGGTGTCCCGGATCAGGGTGGGGGTTCCCTTGGGGTGTGAGGCAGCCTGGGTGAGAGGCCTGTGGTGGTTTGCAGGTCGGCCATGCTCCCTGGTGAGCCAAACAGAGGTTCTGGTATCTGGGATTTATTTACCTTCTACAACTGAAACTTTGTAGCCTGGAGCAAAGCCAAGCCTCCTGCTTGCTCCATGGCCGCAGTCATTTCTGTTGAGATTTATGTATCTTCTATAATTGAAACTTTGTAGCCTTAATCAGAGGCCTACAGCCAGCCAAGGTGTGTGGAAAGCTTGGCTTCCACCATGGGGGGGGGGGGGGGGGGGGCGGCAATCCTAGCCTCCTGCTATTTCCAGCTCCGTAGTTTCCATCATTTCTGTTTGGATTTATCTATCTTCTGTCATTGAAACTTTGTAGCATTGAGTGGAGGCCTAGGCTGGCAAGGGCAGGTGGAAAGCTTGGCTTTCTCCATTGCCGGGGAAACCCAAGCCTCCCTCCTGCTCTCTGTGGCCGTAGCCATCTTGGTTGGGTTTATTTGCATATTCGCTCCTGATTGACTGGTGGGTATAGTGGAGTGATGGTTAATTTGCATATTATTATTTTATTAAATAGGATTAGGATAAAGGTAATAAGTGCAGGATCATTCTGCAATCTTTGGCTAACTGTAGAGCCAGGGTGATTTGTGCTCTGTTGGATCTTTCAAGGAAACACAATCTATTTGAATGAACTGAGGGACATTTTCAAAGCTTCTCATAAGTTTCTGACATTAAAAAGAAGTATTAAGCCCAACTGGTGAGGCTCAGTGGTTCAGCATCAACCTATGAATTAGGAGGTCACAGTTCAATTCCTGGGTCAGGGCACATGTGTGGGTTGCAGACTCAATCTCCAGTAGGAGGCAGCTGATCATTAATGCTTCTTTTTTGAAAAATATTTTTTATTGATTTCAGAGTGGAAGGGAGAGGGAAAGAGATAGAAACATCAATGATGAGAATTATTGATTGGCTGCCTCCTTCTTGGGAGGCATCGAGCCCACATGTGCCCTTGACCGGAATCAAATCCGGGACCCTGACGCTCTATCCACTGAGCCAAAACAGCTAGGCCTCATCATTGATGTTTCTATCTCTCTCTCCCTCTTCCTTTCCCTTCCTCTCTGAAATCAATAAAAAATATACATATTTTTAAAAAGTATCAAAGCACTTTGAGGATAAAATATAAATTAAGCTGAGATTGTGCTACTTTGGGGATGATCTTGACAAAACGCCAGTGGATTCCTATTAAAGTCTAAAATAATTTAGAGTGCTTCAAAATATCCAAGAGTATATTTATTCAAAAGCACATATTTAAAAAGAATAACCTATCAGTGAAAGGGGTGTTGGAAATTATAGAGTTAAAATTATAGGAAGATTTAAGCATTAGTGTTTCTGGAGTGTGCCTACCTTTACTTAAATTAAGTGGCTATTAACATAGTTCTTTAATAGTTTCTGTTTCCTCTGACAATGAGGCAAAGCAGGTGTACCATGGCAGGCAGAGGAGTAATTCAAAGAAAACTCTTGAATGTTCCAAATGGAAAATCAATTTAGAAGACAAGGGAAACAGTTCCAAGTTATTAACTTCTGAAGCACTGATGTAGCTTAATATTTTATGGTTCCCACAGCCAGGCTTTCTATGTGGGCAGTGAAATGGAGAACTGGCAAAACGAATGGGTGTTTTAAACAAGCTTTCTGACTGTGTCTCAGTTTGTTCAGTGATTTCCAATGGAGTCAAAGTGTAGGGCCTGGATTAAGTAATTATCAAATCAAAGTTCTTTGTAAACGTAAACTCAGTTTAAAAAAAATTCCCATTTTAAAATCATTTTAATGATTTAATTTAACCTTAATTTTGGCAGAATGAATGGATTTGTTGTTTCTTTTCTTATTTTCTTTTTTAACTTCCATTTCTCCTATCTGTATAATAAAAGAAGACAGGTCTAACCAGATTTGTTTTAAAATCACTAGTTCCAGTATTATATCGGTGGCAAATTCACAAAACTAATAAGCAGAGAAAAACTGCACCATTCATGAGAATCACATTATCATTCTCTGGCACAAAGCGTGTCTTTGAGTGTTTACCTCTGTACTGGCCATCTGATCTGCAACTTTCGGCTTAAAGAAAACCAGCTGTTACAAGTATTCCTACAAGGTCCAAGGGCGGAATTCATATGAACAAAAAAAAGAAGATATGTCTATCAGCAGGAACAAGTTTGAGGTGCCACTTCCACGTTGTGTTGAGACAAATATGAACCCAAGACTTTTTCTGGTTTGCTTTGTTTTTATTTTCCTTAAAGGGATGTAAGGAGAGCTATGCTTCAGCCTTCATTTCACTGGTTCTTTCCCCTAATAGCTGTTGCAAGAATGTAGTTCAAAGAAAACGATGCTCCCCGAGACACGGTAATGACAGATCCGCCACTGCTGAGCTGAAGGCAGAGCTGAGAGAGCGGGAAACTCACCTGTTCGCTGGATCGGGAGAGGCAGCTCTTGATGACTTCCGTTTCCAGAAGGGTGCGCTTGTGAATGTCCACGTGCTCGTAGTACTTAGACAGCCGGGTCTGCCCTTGTTTATTCACCATGAGGAAGAACTTTATCATTTTTCCCTGGCCAGTATTTTTCCAAATATAAAGTTATGGCAAAGGTGGCTATAATTAGAACCTGAAGGATGAAAGAAAAACAGAAAGGCAAGATCAATTTTCAGAGAGGATCATATTAAACGTGTCCTACAGATGAACCAGAAGTAAATAAAAAATGTCTTCTGATGTGATTGGTCTGCACTACTATGAACCAAGTGAGGTTTTAATAAACATAAATGTTCATTAATTATCTTCCAAAAGATATTTTTAGTATCCACAGTACTTCTCCTCACGTTCTTGCAACAGCTACTAGGGAAAAGAACCCATAATAATAGGACCCTATAACAAGTCCTATACGGTCTGTACTAAGCAATGTGCATATATTATTGAATTTTCACAAATCCCCGACGCAGGTACTTCTGTTATCCCGTTTTAAGGACCAGCAAATTGAAGTTCAGGGATTAAGACACCCAAAGTCCCGGATTATTTAGCCAGAGGTGAAGCCCAGCTTAGAGGACAAACACACGATCCTTATCATTCAGGAGTTCATGCTGTGGCTTCATTTCTAACTAAGCTGTACTGAAACTTAGGTTTGTCCCTTTTGCACCTATTATAGATTTTGAAAGAATCAATTGCAAAAAAGTACAATATTGACTAATGGCCAGACCTTTCATCATGAGTGTCCGAGTTGCCTCATTGGCTCATCTGACAATATCATATTCACATTTTATACTGTCTGTGAAAATCAGTGCAAAAGACCGAGGTTCACAATAGTTCTTAAATACATGTTCGGTTGCTGTGTTCGTTCAGTGTGAACACAGGATGTCATGTAGACCAGCTCAGAGGAGGCGACACAGCTGTCTGTGTCAGGGGGCCACTTGTGGCCATTCACCCCCTTTCCCAGGATGCTATGCTCACTACTGTCGGTGGGATGGCAACATACTTTATGCTGCTTAGTCATTTGGTATTACGTGCTGCTTTTACTCTCCTTACAAAATTATTCCCAGTAAATTATGACACATGACTAGTAAATTAAGATGACCGTCCTTTCTTTTATTCCCTTTCAGCAAAGTTATTTTAAAACTCTCTTTATGAATCTTAGAAGTTACAATCCCATGCGCTGGATAATAGCTGCCATGTAAAAGAAAAACGCATTGTCTCAAAGGGACTCATGGCTAGGGCTCTGCCTTTAACTGCGCTGGTTGCACTGAGCGGTAAAAGATGTAAAATGATCTCACTGAGATGCCACACCGAGGGGCCACATTGGTCCCACCTCAGAAGCACAGCAATCCTCCCCACTGACTTCAAGACCAAGGAGGACATACAAGGGCGCGTTGAATTCATACTTATTAGGATGTAAGTCTTGAAAATAGTAGCTGACGTCATCTAAAATTTTGAATACAACACTTTCTTGCATGCTCATGATTACACAATATGTAATTGTAGGATTACACAGTGGTAATAAAAGGAACACACAAAATGAATAAATTGTTTGTATTATAAAATAAACAACTCCCAAATGTACAATGTGGAGATTCAGAGACAAGCCCATGTTTGAGAACTGAAGGTGAACACTTTAGGCTCCTCTCCTGAGTGAGGAGGGAAATCAATTACGAAATACAGAATGCGCTCAGACAGGTGCTGGGAGTGGTCAGGGAGCAGGTATGAACTCCCGCTCTTTACAAACTCTTTGCATTCAACAACACACATAGGAAGACGTTTTGATAGCCAGGAATTGAGATTCCACACCCAAGAGCATGTAGGAATGTGCAAAGAAGAAAAGGGAAACCTGCCTGGGAAAGCATTCATTACGGACAGCCCAGGAGAGCTGAGGGCCCAGATCGGCTGTCTGGGGGAGGGGACCTCACAGTAGGGTATGAACACATCAGAGCCCCAGGTCCTCTGTGATGTAAATGCAATGCCTAGAGAACAGGGAGCCTGGAAAGACCAAAGTACATATCGAATTGGGCACAGCTTTCAAATTCCGGATGGTGTATTTCTGGAGTTAGAGCTGGAAAAGTCCTCATAGATTGTCATATCCAAAGATGACAAATAGATTTCAACGTGGGTGCCCGTGGTGACTGACTGTACTCGTTGTTTCGGGCACTGTGTTGGGAAGGAGTCTGGAGCTGTTTCGGGTTCGGAAGAAAAGAATGCCATGAGTGATTAGCAATGCCAGTCATGGTTAGAAAGCAGGGTGTGGCAACATATGCACGTACCTGCCATCCCTCACTCTGCAGATGGGAAAACTGATCATCTGACATGTATTGTGAAGTCCTGAATTCTGGTCTCCAACTCACACAAATTCTGTCTCTAATTTACCACACTCATGCATGGTGTCAATAAATGTTCAATTAAGCTTAATAAATATCAATGTCAGGTAGCTTTGGGAACAATGAAATCAATGTTCTCTTTTCTAATGCCACTGCACAACTAATTTTGGAAATAGCAAACAATTCACTGCATGATAACAGTAGGGTATCAAATTTCTAGAAATGAAAGTGGTATTTGGTGATGACTAACATCCTTTCTAGTTTCTCTCTCCCTCTCTCTCTCTCTCTCTCTCTCTCTCTCTCTCTCTCTCTCTCGAGCAACATGAGACCAAAAAAAACATTTTATTTGTTTCATGAAAGTGATTGAAATAAAATCCCCGAGTTAAAAAGCAGATTTCCACAAAGAGAATGTTTAGTACTCATCCTATCTAATAAAAGAGTAATATGCAAATTGACCGTCACTCCAATATACAATATGGCTACCCCCATGTGGACACAAGATGGCTGTTACAAGATGGCTGGCAGGGGAAGGCAGTTAGGGGCAATCAGGCCTGCAGGGGAGCAGTTAGGCATTGATCAGGCTAGCAGGAGAGTAGTTAGGGGGTGATCAGGCTGGCAGGCAGAAGCGGTTAGGGGCAGTCAGGTAGGCGGGCATGCAAGCGGTTGGGAGCCAGCAGTCCTGGATTGTGAGAGAGATGTCTGACTGCCCATTTAAGCAGTTGAATATCCCTCAAGGGGTCCCAAATTGGAGAGGGTGCAGGCTGGGCTGAAGGACACCCCCTCCCCATGCACGGATTTCGTGCACCAGCCCTCTAGTCTATATAATAAAAGTCTAAGGGGCCATTGTGGCAGAACAACCAGAATAACCAGTCGCTATGATGTGCACTGACCATCAGGGGGCAGATGCTCAATGCAGGAGCTGCCCCTTGGTGGTGGGTGTGCTGCTCAGCCAGAAGCCAGGTTCACAGCTGGAGAGCCCAGCAGCGGTGGCAGGAGCCTCTCTCGCCTCCGTGGCAGTGCTAAGGAGCAGCGCGCCAAGCGATAAGGGGCAGTGAGCAGGCAGGCGGTAAGGAGCGAGGGGTTCCAGACCGCGAGAAGATGCAGGCCAGGCTGAGGGACCCCACTCCCCGCCCAGTGTATGAGTTTCTTACACTGGGTCTCTAGGATAGTATAATATAACCGTCAAAAGCTCATGTCAACTACATGGAACTTGACTGGCTCTACTACTTACTAGCTTCGTTTCCCAGGTCAAGTTACTTAAATCTTCCTGTACTCAGTCTGGGGTACAATGGGAAAAGTAACAGTACTTACCTTCTGGGTTGTAAGGATGAGAGGAATAATTATATGTAATCTCTCAGAAATGGAGCATTGGCCAATGTTATCGTGATAACATAGCACCTTTTCCTCAGTAAAGCCTTACATGCGTATGCCAATCCCCTCTTTCTAACCACAAAAAGCCCCTTATCCTTCCTAAGATCCCATCACTCTAGCTACAAAACCGGTCACCCCATAGCAGTTATTTTCAACCAGGGTGCCGCAAGAAGCAAACTACTGTGCTGCAATAATTGGGGGGAAAAATGTTTGATTTTAGATGGGAAAGAGAGGAGAGGGAGATAGAAACATTGATGAGGGAGAAACAGCATAGGCTGCCTCCTTCATAACCCATACTGGGGATCACGTCAGTAACACAGCATGTGCCCTGACTGGGAATCCAATCAGAGACCTCTTAGTAAATGGGGCAAAGCTCAACCAACTGAGCCACACTGGTCAAGATGCAAGAATTTTTAAAGCATGCAATATTTGACTATTTAGTCAGAGACACTGACCTCTTTTCTTTTAGATTGTCACATAAAAAAAAAAAATTGAGAACAGCCAACACAACAACAGCCATCTAGTGTGAATGAATTAAAATTATATTTATTTTTTTGTCAGATTGGCAAAAAATATACTTCTGTGTGTGCTACAGAATTTTAGTAATTAGTTTATGTATGTCATGAGATGAAAAAGGTTGAAAATCGTTGCCCTATATAATCATTATTTAATTACACGCTGAGCTCCACTATCAGACCAGTGATTTTCACTTTCTGTTGTGATGATAAGAAAGATATTTTACACTGTGACCCCATATACAAGTATAAAATATCTGAAACAAAAGTTCACAAGACAATGCTTACCCATACTACACATATTGCACTCTAGTATTTTCTTTGACATTTCCTTTGGTAAAAACTGTAGTTGTGAGGGATTTGGGTTACACAGATGTATGGGTTTTTTAAAACTCAGCAAATGTACTTTAAAGATTCATGCATTTATTATATGCAAGTTTTATAAAAAGAAACTAATACTCTAGTTAATAATATAAATGTTGAGGCATTTGGGTAAACTGTATTGATATTTATACTTCGAAATGCACTGGAAGACAGTCTATTCTCAACCCTCCCTTCCCCCGTCCCCCCACAGGCACATATCCCACAACCTCTGAGGGACCCCGTGAGACGTAACCGGGGAGCAATGGCAGCAGCTCCTCTGGGCTGAGGCCCTGACCTGCCCCCAGACCCCCTCTGAATATTTTTGTGCAATCAATTCGTTTGCTTTTCTGCGCGTGTGCGCACGAAGTGGGGAACGGGAGGGTTGAGAACAGGCTGTCCACCAGTCATTTGCCAGAGAGCTACCCACTATCAGATCTGTTGCTGGAGGGATATAAACGGCTAATGGCTGGCATTCAAGCAAGCCTGTTGTTACCTTAACCTTCCATTTAAAAAAAAAAAATCTTTTAATTGATTTCAGAGAGGAAGGGAGGGGGAGAGAG